ATTCCCGATCCGGATCGGTTTTTTGGAAGCCCGATGCGGGTCACCGATCCGTTTTTTAAACCATTGCTTCGAACTTTTTAGTCCACGTAGGACGGGTCCAATGCAACGAGGAGGATCCCCGAATAGGGGGACCCGCTTTGACCTTTACAATTTTGCCCCCATGTATTTTTCAAAATGATATGATACGCCCTACTCGAAATTACTGTAATACCTACGGGCACTTGTGCAATTTTTTTTATTGAGGCCTCTATGCTCTAATTTAGAACATAACCCCCCAAGTTACAACTCATTTAATAATGAGTGCGGTTTGTATAGAGCCTAGGCTCTAAACAATCAAATTAAAGCTTACATCCAAATAGTATCGAAAAATATGATTTTAATGATTGAAAATCTTTTTGATAACCTTAAAATATATTGTTATTTTTATTTATAAAGTTTAATGCTTCAAATGTCACAAAAAAAACGGTTGATTTTGTTGGACCAGAGGAGCCACATTACACACATACCCAATCCATTCATTAGTAAAACCACGGGCATAGCAGTCATGTCATTAAACTAGATGAGAAGTATGTCACAAAGATGAAACAATTTTTTTTAGATTTAGAACGCATCAATAACAAATGCCCAACTGCTTATGTTCCTGTACTGGAGATAAACAGTCTTATAATGTAGAATTTCAAAAAGTAAAAATTGCACAAGAACCTCAGAGTGGCCCTTCAGCAATAAAATCAAACGGTTTCATATTTAAAGTTAGAGGCGAAATAAGATACATATTCAACCATCCAAATTCACATCGAGTATTTATTTTTGGACACAGAATAGAGTCAATAGCACATTTCTAACCAACTAATTCGCTTCTAATGACCGATAACTACTGTGACGTTCTTGCACCAAAGATAAGTCGCCTTGGTGTATACATCCGGTTGCGGGTGCCGTAAAGATAAGTCGCCGTGGTGCGGTTTGTATAGAGCCAAGGCTCTAAACCATCAAAGTAAATCACACCTTCAAATAGTATCTAAAAATGTGATTTTAATAATATATTTTCAAAACTTGAAATCCAAATTTTTTTCTCATGTCATCTTGAGGTCGAGATGGTCAACTTGAAGAAATTTGGGCATCAAAACAACCTCTTCTAGTGAAATTTTTGATGTGCATAGTACATCACACCTTTAAATGGTATTGAAAAATATGATTTTAATGATATATTTTCAAAACTTGAAATCCAATTTTTTCTCGTGTCATCTTGAGGCTGAGATGATTAACTTGAGGATATTTGGGCATCAAAACAACCTAGTTTAGTGAAATTTTTGATGTGCGTCCTAATTTGATTGTTTAGCGCCTTGACTTATATAAACTTTTCATATAAACAAAGTCCCATTTTGATGATCACTTGATTGCGGCCCATTGGGCACCACTCTTGCTTGAAATGGCCCACATTGACAACTCCAGCTTCTGGCTTGAGAAAGGAGGAACTCATTGCAACACGCGTGTGGGTTCCAAATACTATCATCTTGTAAGCCTTAAAAACAAGACTAAACAACTTGCACTCCTAACGGGACGTTTTATTTGATTGCCCATGAATACTCAACTACTTGCAAATCATCACGTATTTTTTTATTTAATGTTTTTTCCATTACTATGTTATCGGCAAATGCTACATAGGCATTGGGTTTGACAATAATGATATCTTCCAACACACCGAAACTCGCAGTCACTCCACTAGTTATAGGAAAATGTAAGGATTGATGCATAGAAGAACATTTTCTTCAATTGATAATTATATGAAGCGGAAGATATTTTAGTCATTTGTTTGCATCAAGCTCAAACCTCATTCATGCATGCGTGCTCCTCCAGAAGCACACATCATAACAACTGGGAGAGATCTATCAATAGCATACTCGATCAAACAGGTTATTTTCTCACCTACTACAGATCCCATACTGCCTCACCATACTAGCATTGATAGTCATGTAACATCGGGGCTTGGTCTTGAGTGGTTTGCAGTTTGACTTCAGGAATACTATATCTCGACTTCAAATCATACTACTACCATGTCTGCAAAACCAGTTAGGCTAACTCAGACCCAATCGGGTTACTCGAATTCGGATACTGGCCTTGGCCGGTTTGGCTAACTAGGGTGGTCAAGACTAGACCACCCTAACTTAAAAAAGAAAAAATATTTATAAAAAAAAAATCTAAAAAAATAAGATTTTGCTTGTAATAGTTTTGTTATTGTTTTCTAATATTTTTGAAAATATTGGGAAGTATTTTGGCCATTAATATTTAGTTTTACGTTTTTATATTTTTTGAATTATTTTTAAAATACCGTGGGGCACAATTGATTTTTCATTGCTTTTTTAATTTCATTTGAATCTATTTTGTTTAATTATACTTTACGCATATTTTTAATACTTTATTAGTATTTGATAATTTTTTAAATTTTTTTAACCCTCTTTTTGCCCGGACGGGACATGCCTGATTAAAGCGGATTCCAAGGACCGGGCCAATGGCCGCGTTTCGTTTCCGGTTCATCGTTTCCAACATTGAAATGCTGACGGACAAAAAAAGAAAAAACCCAAGGGTGCAATAGTCATATTTACAGAGAATAGGGCATTTTGGGTATTATCCGCTTCGTCTGAAAAGGTCGTTTTTGTTCAGTCAAAGATTGTTACGGTCGTTTTCTCTTGTGAGGGTTTATTCTTTTTGTCTTGTCATTCTAAACAAAGATTAGTACTATTTTTGTCATTCAAAGGGAATACCGAGGACGTTTTCGTCAATTTAGATTTCGAGATATATGAAAGATTATCGATTTTTTACCACAAATAACCAGAGGACGGGAGAAGAAAGGGGGGAGAGATAGAAGAGAGATCATAAACTCCGTACATGAATGGACGGTCAGCCTTATATCTCACCCTCCGAGCACGCCCTAAAGATCACCAGATGCAACTGCCGAAGATCTGAAACGTCCATTTTTCCATGAGCTTTCAAGGTTGAGCTCTCCCTTCTTTTCTAGAATAATCTCACTTTTCTCTCTGATAATGTTCCTTTGGTTCTTTTTTCCTTTAATGAATTTAGAACGAATTTTACAGTTTTTTTGCGCTTTATGTTTTAGCGTTTTGTAATCTGTAGGAATAGAGCTGATTTTTTTCAATCGCTTACCAGTTGAAATTCATTTTGTTTGATTGTCAATTTTTTTTGCTCAAAATTTTTGATGATGAATGAGCATTTAGTTGACTATTTGCACGTTACCTTCTCCAAGCAATTTGCATAAACTGATTATAGGCCACAATTTCATGAACAAAATTTACATATTGGAACTTGTTTGCGAAATTCACAGGGTTTCTAAATCCTTTGCCTTGAATCGAAAACTGTTCGTCTTTGTTGAGAATTTTTCGAACGCTTTACAGCGTATATTGTTCCATAGATGCTAACATATGTGGTTTTTGTGAGGGATTTTTGGCATTCTTCTGAAAACAAGAGGCTTGATTTTTCAGAGGATTTTCACCGCTCTTTTGCGTGCAAAAAGGCTTCACTTTCAATGGATTTTTCAGTTTCTGTGAATCCAAAAGGACCGATTGTTTGAGGAATTTCCATTTTCTCAGCTCCTAAAAGGACTTGGATTTTGAAGAATCCTCAATTGTTAAAGGCCTGATCGTGATCTTTTTCATGAATTTGCACAGGCTTAAAGTTATTAAATCAAATATTAGGAAGAGAAGAACGAAACAGCGCTCCACATTTGCTTTTTCTCCGAATTGCTTCGAGATTTGAAGAAGTATGCAGGCTTCAATATTCTGTGATTCTTTAACGAGACACTTGACCTCACTTTCACGGAACTTTAAGCACTTGAGCAAGAATAATTCATAGAATCTAAAGGTTTCCTGAAAGCTCTAAACTCAGGGTTCCTCTCTTTTTTTTTGTTTCCCTTCTCATCATTATTTTTTGAGTTTTCATGAGATTTTAGGGCGAAATCTGGAGCCATTTGTCAGACCGAAAGCTTCATATTTGCTAGTCTCTAATGGCCTAAAACCTAAAACCTAAAACCTTAAAGTGAACCCCAGCTTTTCCTCAGAAAAAAACAGCAATATAGCAAACAAAAACCCTAATTTTTCCACTTTCAATTTCTCTGCGTCCTGAGCGTCTTTTGCAGAGAAGGAACGGACACGATGTTTTTTACATCATATATATGCATTTCTGGCCGTCCGATCTATCGCAAACTCGATTGAACAATAACGGTCGACCTGAGTCTTCACCCGACCTATCGAGCTCCCCTGGTCGTCCGTCGTCGGATCATCCGGAGCTAATCGCGAGTATTTGTCCAGGTTCGGCGACTTCTTCTGGCCGCACGGGAAGGATTAGCGCGATGGTGGCTAACGATGAGTCCTCGCCCTCGCCCTCGCCCAAATCGGCGTGGAATTCGCCGAGGAATCGGGTGAAGTTTCTGTGCAGTCATGGGGGAAGGATCCTACCACGACCGTCCGATGGACAGCTTAAGTACGTCGGTGGCGAGACACGTGTCATCGCCGTGCCACGCGATGTTTCCTTTTGCGGTGAGGCTTGCCCTGTATTTTGATTACCAACCCGTTCCACGTATACCACTGGTGTATGATACACCATGGGGATACATACCATGCACTACAGATGATGAACGGTGGTTCTTGACATTCATGGGTGGATGTTTTGGGTGGGTTAGTCAGCACCATCGTTATCATGCACCACACAGCAATGGTTTATAGCATTGGTTTAAAAAATGGATCGGTGACCTGGATCGGGAATTTTAAAAGCTGATAAGTATCGGCAATTCGGATCGAGAATCGAGCCGAATCGCTCAAATTAAGCTTTAAAAAAATTCAAAAAAATTATTAAAATTTATTATAAATGTTGTTTTTTAGGATATCCAATAAGAAATTGAGATACTACGTCATTAACTTTCATTGTTTTTTTCAATTTATGAATATTAAGATGTTCTTTCCCTGTATGAACTTATGTTGACCATTCAATTGACATCACACAAAAAAAATCATAGAATTTTCATGGATTAAGTATATAATCATATATGGATTACAATAAAGAGTTGACTAAATCGATGAAAAATTGGCCACTAAAATTTCGAATTGGCAAAAAACCCTAATCCACTAAAAAAACCCAAATTATTACAACTTAGCT